CCCCCCCCCCCCGGTTTCTCTTACTCCCGTGTAGATGACACCTTTGCCAAGACTCTCCTGCCCAGCGTGTTTGTTGCTATCTTGAGTCCCCTCCGAAAGAATGAAATGCCCGGGTACTTTTATACACATGAAAAGGTCTTGACGCAAAAACAAGAGTGTTGTCTTGACGCATCGGTCGGTTGTCTCTGATGACGTTCTCGCAGAGATGGCACCTGAATAAGAATATTGGTCGAAGAAAAAGCCCTGATAAAAAGATGAAAGGGGTTCGTATGCGCGCGCGATCGGTCCTTGTCTCTAACGCGTGCACGTGTGTTTTTTCCGCGTGTGCGTGTGCGTTGTTGCTGCGTGCCCTCGTCCGCTTGCTCCCACGCACGAACGTGCGGCGGCTGCGGGGGGTGTCACGTCGGCGTCATCGTCGTCGCTATTGTCGTTGTTTCACGACCAAAACACAACACCAACACCAACGAAACGACCGTAGTTCCGCCGCTTCCAAAATAAGCGGCTCGATGAAGAAGACCTCGACATGGCCGGCGTCCTCGGCACGTCGGCGTTTCCGGAGTCACCAACACGCTACTGAAAGCTAATGCTGATGCTCTGCGCTTCGGCTGCTGTCGCTCCTCTCCTCTCCTTTCTTCTCCTTGCCCATCTGCTTTGTGTGTGTTGTGTGTGTCTTGTGCACCCTGTATTGGTTAAACCTTCCTTCTGTGTGGGGGGATATGGATTGGACCGGTCAATGTAAAACTTTCAACAAATCCAGCTCCGCCGCATGAGGAAGAAGAAACACGCGGAGGACCAGCTGGACCTGGATGGCCACCCCGGTACCTCGGCTTTCCCGGATTCCCCCGGCGGCGGCAACACCCTGCGCGGCGCGGTGCTCACCCACGGCAACCGCGACCGCGGACGCTCGGGACACTTCCCTATCCCTCGCTTCGACTCCATCCGTGGGCGCTTCGACTCGGGCATCTTCGCGTCTAACGTCGCCGGGGGCGGGGGCGGGGGGGCGGTTGCCGGAGCTCACGTCGGCGGCGGCGGGCCGAGCGGGGAGCTGGAGAAGATTTCCGCCGAGCAGGCAAACGTGTCGACCACGGCGCAGTCCACGCCATCGGGCGCCAACGGTAGCGGCGTCGGAACCGGGGGCGGCGGCAGGAAGGCCGGCAACGCGCCGCGGTCAACGGTGCTCGACGGCCGCCTGGTGGCCAAGGGGTACACGACGACCGACATGGGGCGGCCGACATCGTCCAGCGCAAGCCGGGCGGCGACGGCCGCGGTGGGGGAGGGGAGCAACGGCGGTGGGGGGGCAAGGGGGGAAGGCGGATGGGGGCTGGCCATGTCGGGAGAGTACCCGGACTTGGAGGGGACGGACCCGTACGCGATTAATAACGCCATGGCGGAGACCGGCACGGCTACTACCGCCGGAGGCCGCGACGTGGAGTAGGTAGGGGAGGCCTTTGGAAGGCGAGCCTAGTAGAGGGTACGGGGATGAGGGGGGGGGGGGGGGGGGGGGGG